ATCCCGATGCAAAACTGTAATGAAATTGATTGCGGAAGCTGTCACTTAGCACATTAGTCTTGATTAAGCGGTCCACTCCTCAAATCCCAATTAAAATACGGTTTAATCATGGAATTGTGTATGGAAAATGACACTTTCAATGATATACCAAACCACAAGAAGATAGTCAATAAATGATGGGTGTTGATTCCCCTCGTGGCCTCGTCTATTGGATATGCATATCGGGAAACCACATTCAATGAAAGGATGTGTGATTCTTGTATTGCTGACTCTCCCACCATCCCTACATTATGAAATAAGGTGATGTGGGAGACTAGATAGTAGAAACCAACAACGAATTGTCCACAGAGGATCATGACTTTAGTCTTTAACCTTTTGTTTGTTGTGTGAATCAGATTAAGGGACCATCATCCCCCAATTTCAGAGAGTGGTCCTCGAAGGGCTAGAAAGAGATAAAGAGGGATAGGGTGGTAGTTGAAGCATTGAATTGGTTAAATTTAGTGGGGAAAGAGTGTGGATTGTAAAGACCCATCTCAAATATAGTATGTGGGAGCTAGGCAGTACAAGCTATGGGATCATTGGAAACTACCTTAGAGGAATTTAGGATGTTGATGCGAGTATTATGGGACACATGTGACTTTGATTCGTGTCTGAGTCTGAAAATATTGCACCAAAACGAAGTCCCAACGTTATTATTCGATTCCCTTCCTCTGCCCTGGATGACAACCCTTCTACATTAGGGAAAAAAATTGACTCATCTTTAATGTTTGCTCCAGTTTCAAGGCGAGGTCTTGAACAAGCAAGCTGCAAGCCCGCTCCTCAACTCTCGTCCACAAGTTTGTGAACTGAATGATAGAGCAATGCTCATTCATTCCAATATTGGACCTCTACCAGCTATCTCATCCTGAAAAGCAGCAAAAATATCGAAATCAAATACAGATTAGATTCTTTTTCACGTAGTCACGAAAAGAATAACATGAAACAATATTATTGCATAGGAAATGTATCTATTAAAAAAAAATTCTGCGAATATATTTGACACAACCATTCTTCTCATAGTTGAGGTAAAGTTCAATTTGAATCAAACAGTACACGACTGTTTAGGTCCTTGGGAAATCGAACCATTTACTGCTTCTCTCTTGCTTTTGGTTTCTTAGTCGATATCTCTGTTTTTGTGCCCTTCAAAAGCAGATGGTTTGCTTGGTTAGACACAAGCCATTGTGCCATACCGGCATCCCCACTTGAACATTCTTTGTCCCCTCCCATTCCTTTTTCCCCGAGAGCATGGGATCATTATTTGGACTGCGGTCACACTTCCAAATTATTATGAAAAATGATAAATGTCTAGTTCAGGATAACTAACTAAACCACATCTTGGGGTTTTCTTGTTGGTCACGTGTGTGCGCGCGCGCGCGCGCCTAATAAGTTATTATAACGTTGATATAAGGATCTGATAATGGCAAGTAAAGCGAGATTTGACAGAAATTGACTTCAATGTTTTACATTTCCAATTGACTTCATCGGCAGGGGTGGAGAGGAGAGATTAATAAAGGTCACGACCTCTCTTAATTTTTTAATTTTTTTATAAAATGTAGGGATGATGTATTTTTAACTCTTATAAATTGGTATATTATAAAAGTTATAGAACACTAAATAAAATTATCATTTTAATTCTTATATAATCTTTTACATATATATAACATAACTATTTCAGTGATTTGAATATATGATTGTTATAGGATCTATTTATTTTTAATAAAATAATGATATTCATGCGCTTAAAGAATTGATGTTATTTTATTTTTCTTTCATTTTATATTTAATGAAAAAAATTATAAAAATTATTATTAACAAACTTTATTAAGCATTGTAACAAAACTTTCAAGATATATTGAATCCTATATGATTGATATTTATCATAAAATTACTTGTCCAAAAGTTAAGAGGTTTGGTGAAGATATTCTTCTAAAAAAAATTACTTTTTTAAATAATCAAGTTATTAAAATTTATGATATGAATAGTTTTTACTCTGATATAATTCAATTTCAATGATAAAAAGATTTTATAATAATTAAGAATTATTAATATGTTAATATATTTATATACTATGGTTATCAATTAAAAAAAATTTAATAGTAAATTTAATAAACAAGTAACAAAACTTATTACATTAAATAGAACTTTAAATTTTAATAATATATTTAAATCATTTAATGTTTATAGAGATAATAAAATTTTCAGCAATTTAATGATAATTTATATTGAAAAGGAAATTGCTAAAATATTTATCATAGACATAAAAATTAATGATTTTTATACTATAAAAAATTGATAAATAAAACTTAAAATATATATATTATTATATATGTGTAATTGAATATAAATATATGTGTTAAAATATTTATATTATGTTGATAATATATATATATATATGCATTAATTATTATATATACGTTATTATCTTGATCCCTTAATAAATTTTTTGGCTGCCTTCATTGTTGCTTGTTGTGAAATATAAAAAGACTTCAATTAGCAGAGCCCCTGAGCTGCGAATTACGACAAAACTACTGTACGTGACCTTTTTTTTTTTTTTTTTGTTTTTTTTTGGGAAGCTGGAAAAGAAACTAAAAGTCCAAGGAAAATCAGACAGCAACCGAGCACGCCAATGATTGAGCCCTCCCATCCCATTCCCATATGAACTCCATTTCGACCATACTATTTTTTATTTATTAATCAATCAATTAGTTAAACTTCAATTTCCCAAACGTGCCATCCACTTTCGTGCCAAATCCATATGCGAGTGGACGGCGAATAGGCTTTTTTGCATTTACTATTTGTGACTCCGGATTTTGCAGGTTTTGGGAATTAAAGGGATGTGAGGTAATAGGAGATGTGGATTAAAATATTAAGTACGGTACGCTTCAGGACCTTTTATTCGAATATGCAAGGTTACTGCCGTGAAAGTTTTGATTAATCCTCTTTTAATTTTATTTATAAATTACTTTTAATATATTTGACCAAAATTTTTAAAATTTATTAATTCTATTTAAAAGTTTAATAAATTTTTATTTTTATTCTTATTAAATATATAGACTTTACCAACATATTTTTTCTTCAACATTTAATGAAGGATTTAAAAAATAATAATTTATAATAATAATTTAATGATGTGATTTATATATTAAAATAAAAAAATTATTTATTTATCTTATTTATGAGAGAGTAAAGGTTTTGTTTCCTTCTTTTTTTCTACTTAATTAAAGATCTCGAAGGACGACAATTATTTGGCTGCTCAATACTCATGCACAGGTGTAAAAACTAAAATTTACGAAACCAACTATGTATCATGACGTGACATGAATTAATTAACATTTAACAGGTGTGCACTTCTGGTTTTCTTGTTTATGTCACACTAGCAGGTTTGCTTAGCGAAAGAACTATATTGGTAAGATAAATTGATTTTAATTAGAACATACCACCTTAATATGAGGAGAAATTAACATGTTTTGCACTTATTAAAAAATATTACTCATTCTGTTTAAAAATGTAAAATATTTTTACTTATTTTTCAACTAATCCTATCTTTTTATATTTATCTCTATTAAATACCTTACAATAAATATAAATTCATTATCAATAAAGACACTTTTAAAAAAGATAATGATTACACCTCAAAAAATTAAAAATATTTTATATTTTTCAACATCTAACTCTTTAAAAAATGCCTTACATTTTTTAACGAGGCGAGTAGTTTATTTTGAAATTGTAAAAAAATATGTAACTTTTCAATTTTACCTTTCTTTTGTAATTAATTTTTAACTACTCATCTTTGCAATTATGATGGTAATAAACTGTTATTCAGAAATTCAAATGACATTAAATAAATAAAGGGTAAAATTGAAAAATACTAATTACTTTAATTTCATCTTATATTTAAGACAAAAAAATTTATTAAAGACTGGAGGGAGTAATTTTAAAAAATAATGATAACTTTTGCCATCTTAATGATACAAATCGCCCTCAACTACTTTTCTTAATTTTATGAAACAAATAAAATGTTTTAGATGGTGGGCAGAAGAAAGTAGATTCATAAATCCCAAACAAACATAAGGTGAGTAGGTGCGATGAGTACTTTGGGTTGGAAGATACTTCTTCCATTCAAAAATATAAAGTATTTTTAATCGAATCTCTTCTTCACTAAAGTAGTTGCTTACTTTTAAACTAATATTATCTTTTCATATTTATCCATATTAAATACTTTATAGTAAATATAAAATTATTAATAATAATAATATTTTTTTAAAAAAGATAATAATTACATCTCTAAAAATTAAAAATATTTTATATTTTTAAATATTTAATTTTTTAAAAAATATTTTATATTTTTAAAGGAAAGCAGTATAATTTACCAAGTCAAAATTGTCCCATAAATACGGAGGACGGATTCAAAAGTAGAGGGCTCAGGGTTGTTGAGGTTGTTGCTCCATAACTCTCATGTGGGAGTTAATAAGAGTAGGAATTTGCTAGCTTGCTTGCGGTTGCAGCCTTGTTCATAACAATCCGTATTTTCAGGTTTGACAACTTAAATGACACCTCATTAAATATCTCCTCTCCAAAGGATCAAATGGATCAATATTGGTCTATGAAATCCACCACTCTGCCACGTCTTTTTCTCAGCCAAGACAATAATATCTTTCTTCTATTATGATTAGCTTTTTCCATATCATGCAATTTCAAATTATTCTTTTAAAGCATGGTCGCTGTAAAAAAGTTAAAGTCCTTCAGAATTTATATGGAGGACAACAATGACTGTACAAAGCTACTGACGTAGCCCCTCCAAATCATGCCAATATTAATGGAAAAGAAAGACTTGTTTAATTTTGGAATTTGGTACGCACAACAAATAATGACTTACTGCTAAAAGCCAATAAAGCCGTATCACTTGTGCGCACTTCCTTTTTCCCTTCGTTATGATTTTCATCCTATTCAGAACAACAGAAAAAAAAAAATTGTACATTTAACATATACACACTAGACTGGGTTACACGAGTTTGAATTAAGGAATTTGTAACAAACATTATGGAATACAAGCAATCGATCTGTCAAAGCTATCGATCTGTCATCATTTTTGGGTTACAAACATCATCGATTAACTGCTACGAGAAAAGAAGGTTCGCATACGTCAGAACTTGCACATCTCTTTTTCTAACACCGGCAATGAGTAGCCATCACTTTTGTAAATTCTTTTTATGTTACTGCCTCAGATCAAACATGATGATTGCTTGAAATAATTTCAAATGGGGTTATTCCTACTTTTTATCAAAGAATAACAATAACAAGTCAAACGCTTAGGAGTCTTCGACCCTGGGTTGCCAAGTTGAGCTCACATCCTGCAAAATCACACGAGACAAAATATTAACTTTCCCATAGAGATGCAGTCAAAGTTCCTCTTTTTTAGTAGTCATGGTTAAAATATTCTCCAATCTGTAATAACTGCAAAACCTCATTCATCGTCAGATGCTGTTTGCTTACGAGTTAAGAACTCGTTGGCTTGACCATTAACTACATGCATAAAAATGCACGCACGCACGCACGCACGGGTGTATATGCAGCAACGACAAGAAAGCAAGAACATGGTCTAGCAAACATAGATAGAAAAATTAGAGAAAAGCTGAGTGATGAAAAGAAGCGAAAGGCGAACCTTGTTGTAGATTGAGGGTATCAGAATATCTCCATCACAACTGGGCTGGCGTTTCTCACTGTAGTGCCCACCAGCAAACTGGGGACCAAGCCAAGGATAAGAATAAGACATGCACGAGATCTCAACAAATGCTTTAACATCGAAGGCAGACAAGGTCAATTGCATTACTATCAAGAAAGCTATAAATCCAAATTCAATGAGCTTTGTGCGGATAGAGGATTCAGTCAATCAACCCAAAAAATTGAATAGCAATGAACTGATAATCCTAACTACTCATTCCACTCGTTTAACTTGACCCTTGTTGGGATGAATTACCTTATGCTGATCACTTTGCTGTTTCAGTTTCCTAAAATCACCAGGTTGATCTCAAAGAATAAAGAGTTGCAAGGCGTTCAGAAGAGATTTATTGGCTCAGCGTAACTAAAACCATGTGGATGTGGCAACAACTCTTCTATTTCAATCCTGGAACTAGCATTCTTTTTTGTTCGGCTACGGTTTATAGAATCAACCTCTGCCAGGAATATGCCATAAACTGGTCTGTGATCAGAGAATTTTGACTCCCCCCGAACATAAGATAATTGGCGGAGACCTCTTCCATACCACAAGATACGGTCACACCTTCATGAACAGAAGTTAGATCAGTTATAACTACACAAATCATTATACAGTTCCAACACAACGGCCTAGCACATTTCTTTTAATATCATTATCATTCTTTCATTCCTTCTTTTACTGTTTTCTCCTTTCCAGTTCCCAGATCATATTTGACACTCAAGTTACTCATAAAGGTACTCATTTCCAGAAAAGAACGCTACCATGCTGGAGTTCTTCGTTTTTGTTTTGAGTGTCTTTCATCGCCTGCGTATCTGTCAGAGTTATCTGAATACTTGTATGTGGGAGGGAAATATATCTTCCCCTCATTCCAGCCTTCAAACACACGACCTTGCCTTTTCTCTATACGCAGCTGAAAGACAAATTTTATCATATCGTCAGATTGGTAGAGAAATAAAAATGAGAAAAGGAGCAACTTTTCTGACATAAGAATCACTCGTAAGGGGTCAAAGTATCATGCCTGGTCTTTCTCCAACAAAGCCTTCCAATCCCGCATCTCAACAAGAGCTTTCGCTGCACGGTATGAAAGGGCTATCCGATAATTCAAATCCCCCAGCCAAATAACCCGCCTGCACCAGTTAAACCAAAAGTTTAGGCCTTTACAATGCTACAATTCACCAGACAATTTTATAACATTGGACAGAGATGAAAAGCTTACTCATGTTCCAGAATTGTCTGAGGAGAATTTTCATCGCCAGTGCCATGAACCTGCGGAAACCTTGTCTTCCTGAGGATCTCCATTACATCGGAATTTCTCCTAAGCTCATCACCCTCCTTTTGTCCAGAACTCAAATGACTACAGACGAAGCAAAAGCTTGTTTGGTGCAAGGACATGCTAATTGAAATTGAACCCTGCAACATCCAAAAGAATGAGCTTAACTAATTTACTGGTTCGGCATCAAAGAGAACAACTAGGTGCATTAATATACCTTATTTCCAAGATAGCCCATCAATCCTCTGCCAACACAAGAGACCTTCAAGTTACGAACATCATCTCTGATATCGCTTTTCACCCAAACTGTAAGAAATATTCCAACCATTTGCTTGCTGGCAACCAAACAGTATCTCGAATGCCCTGTCTGCCTATCTCTATCCTCCATAGAGAAAGAACCATTATATGACAGAGGAGAATATTGTGTTGTAACTGGGGAATCACCAGCTCCAATTTCATCATCTGAGGAATTCCATCTATAATTAGGGTCATAGTCACTTGTCCTATGACCCAAGATCATTCTATCACAGACACTAAGGCGGCGATCAAGCTGTACTTGTGGCAGTGACATATCATTGTCCATTCTCATGCTATGACTCAAGGACTGGAAGGACCTTCGATGGAAGAAAGAAGTTGGCTTCCGCCTCATTGATCCCTCAAAATCAGAATCCAACTCTACAATAGGATCAGGGATTGGTGAAGGAGTATGGCATCCACCACTTGTGCCAGGGAGACTGTTCAGGGTCTTCCTGATAAGAGTTAACCATTTTCTAGCAGGGCCATTGTCTTCTGTGCCCAAAACGTTACCAGCATTAAGAGGTACAATTTCTTGAAACCTGAGTGCCATACGAGGAAAAACATATCAGACCGAACTGTTAAAAAAAAAAAAAATCGGGATAAGTGAATGATATATTGTATTATCAGTAATTCACCCAAGAACATAGATATCAGAAGGTGGAGAGGTGTGAAGCCAATCTTCAAGGTTCAGATAACTAGGAGGAGATTTTCCAGCTACGTTCCAAGTAGCAACAAAAATTCTGTAACCAAAACAAAAACACCCATGCGCAAAATGGGGATAGAAGTTCTTGATTCTATTGGCAACAAAAATGAGAGGAACAGTAAAACACTGTAAAATCAGCATACCTATAATTATTCACATCCGGTAGCAGAGCTGTGCCATGGTCAGTCACACCTCGCGGCATTCTGTCCAAGTGTTTCCGGCTTGATCTCTCTGAATTAAGGTGGAGATAATGTTTTCAGAGGGATTGCAGGGAAGTAAAAATCGTTATGAAAAGGGAAAAAAAGGGCGCAGCAACAGAAGGTTTCATAAATTAGAACATAGCTATCTTCTAAGATTCTTTTTTATCTCTATCTTGGTGGGGTTTGGGAATGGTGTGGTCCTAAGAAATACCAAGGTCTCTGATACTGAACCTGTTTTGCTTTTCTTGATAGTGCATGCCTCCCTCTCTGAATAGTTGCTCCTCCACTCTTCATCGACACCTGAAAAAGCAATATCATAAAGTTATTAAAGCTGTGCTCTTCCCACCGTTAATTTATCGTCCCATTCAATCAAATTAAACAATAAAAAAATGGTGGCAGAAGGTGAAAACCGTAGAACAACGAGCTGACCCATTGAACCCAGAAAATTTTTTGCAGAGATCAAGGGAATTGGTGCAGGGTTCAGAGGAAATATGGATTACTTAATTATATAGAGGCAAGAGAAGTACTGCTTTCTGTAATGGATAGAAAATTAACATTCATATTCCCAGAGCCCTAAATTACATTAAAATCACGCGAAAATTGGCCAGTCACCTCCATAAAGGACATCGTCTGCCTGAAAGTCCTCGGTTTTACTCTTGATATTGAACCACTTCTTGACCAATATTTTGGGCCATGAAAACTTCAGCAAAAACATAAGAATCAGCAACGGCAGAACATAAACGGAAGCGAATTTAAAGGAGAGCCGACATTTTCTCAAACCTTGCTTTTCTTCGAGTTCTCATCTCCCATTGTTGGAAGAACTTCATATAGCTATCTCTGATTGTAGAATCAACAGCGCTAGCCAATCCTTCTACAATGCCTTCTCCATGTTTTCTAGGATGTAGCCGAAGCGAATTTCTGTCGGATTCCTGGCTCTGTTTTTGTCTCGGACTGAAATGGACGAAAAGATCATGACAGCTCTGGTGATCAAACCAAGGAGATGGAAACTCCGCAACCGACCACAGCGGAAAAAGACAGGAACGGAGGAAAATCAATGCTTCTTAAATAGTGCAGAGACAACAATAATGAGAGCAGAGCAAAACCCAGTTTCTCGGCATTCAAACCAATGCGATACCCAATACCGTCTGAAATTGAACCCCACTTGGACTTTTCACTGCTACTTAACTTGCACTTGTGCGTTTCAGTCAAATAGTAGAGAGAACGGAGGAACTAGTAAGAAAGAAAACAAAGTAAATTGCGAGGTAAGAAGCAGAGAGGGAGAGATACGTAGAAGTAAGAGAGTAGGAAGGAGTGTGAGAATCTGGGCATAGAAGAAGACAATGTGGAAGACATAAAAGAGAAGAAAACCTCGTTGTGGGTACAGATACAGAGCAAAGTATCGAATTTGAAGGGAATAAAGTGCAGGCAAGCTTCGCTCTCTCTCGAGGCTTTTTACCCCAACTCCAATGCCCGCACAAGCATGGGGACTCGCTTATATTGGTCACCCACTCACACCCAGCAGTCTCCGCCTCTTCTCTCTCTCTCATGAGATTTCACGCCTCAATTCCAAAGACGACTTTCATCCGTGCCAAAAAAAATTTAGTCTTTTATTTTTCCATGATTTTGGTCAAGATTATTTATTAACCTTATAGTGCTAATAATCACCACTTCAAGAGTTAGAATGAAATTGAACAGAAGAATTCCCGATATCAGAAAATTTTAAACTTGCACTGTACAAGTAACTGAAACTTCCGTTAATTTTTGACTAACGCAGTCAACTCATTGGTCACTGGAAATTGCCCTCTCCCTCTCTCGCCCAAACTTCGATACAAGTTCAGCGAGTTAGGCTTGGATCCAAATTCCAATTTCGAAGAAGCGGCAAGTAATTAGTAAGGTTAACTAATCTTCCGTCGGCTCTTGTAGGATAGAAAAGCTGTTTTAGAGGACTCAAGAACCTTTAACCTCTCTGGCGAGTATCTCCCTATTTGACCATGTATAAATATGCTTGACGCGCACGAGAAAAACAGTTTATTTATTGATTTTTTTTATTTTTTGGGTGTTAAAAGCCTATCATAATAGCTCTAATTAAGTCTACCTGATCATCGTATCTTATAAGCCTCCGTTTAGACGGTTATTAAAAGGAATGCTTCACATTTGAAAGACAAGAAACAGATTACTCCGCTGTTCCCGGTCACCATTTGCAATTTTGACTTTGGAGATGTTTTCTAATCTGCTTAAGGTTTAGGGTATGTTTGTTTATTGGAGAATGAAAAGAATGAGAGATTTTAATAAGTTTGATTTTTTAAAAAAAAAATTAGGTGGGTGAGAATATTTTAATAATTTTCTTTACTCTTTAAAATTACCTATTTTTTTGGTAAAAATTCATAATGGAATTTATTATAATCAGCTTCCTCTCCCTTCACAACTAATAGGAGTTAGAAATGACAAATTTTTCTCCTTTTTTTTACAGTTAATAAAGATATAGATATAGATTAACACTAGAAGCAACAAAATGCAATACTTCTAGTTAACTTTATTTAAAAATAATATGTTAACCTGTTATTAAATTTTGGGTTTATGTTTTAAGAAAATGAAAACATTGCAAAAGGCCACAAGCTAACTAGCTGCTAATAGGTTTTTTTTAAAAAAAAAAATCTTGCTTTGCTTAAAAAAAAAAGGAAAAAAATTCTTGCACATGGATTGACGCATTAGGGTTTACTTTAGCGGACGTGCCGCCCAGCAAACTGTTTGTTTATTGTTTCGCATAAAAGCGGGGTTGCCGTTGGCCATCAAGGTTCCCAACTTATAGTCACTAGTTAAGCTCAATCAATCAATCTGTGCGTTTCATGGATAAAATCTTCAAGAATCATAGTTTAATGGGGCCTGATTATTGACAACTACTTGGCTAAGAGACAAATTTTCCAATGATCTTCCCAATGGTGGGCCCACAACCATGTTAGCCTCGGCTTCATCTCGTTCATAGGGTTTGTCCTCATGATTGTCACTAAAAACACCATCTCCGGTAACTATTTGTCAGCCTGCGGTGAGAAGGACATTGGCCTCTGGGCTACACCATTAGGTTGTAGCTATCTAATCAACCACAGGATCATGTCTTGGGAGGTAAACTGCTAAGTGCCGGCCATGTTCTGCAATTGAACACCTTAATTAATAATTCTGTGCGTGTGTTTAAACTGATTTTGTTAATGTTGGCCATCCTGGGGTTAATTAACTCGTGGGCAGGGCAATGAATGATGAATAGAAAGATGTGAACGAGGGGGGAGAATTTGGATAATGCAAGATTGCTGAGTGGGAACCATTTCCACGTCAGAATCAGAGAGCTGGAGATTGCCCTCATGCAATGCAAGTGCCAATGATAGGGGGAAGAAAGGTCAGCATCAAAATTAAACACAGTGGGTCCCCTGGTGTAAGGGGAGGCCCGTTTGATAATTCCAGCATTTTTTTTTTTTTTCATCTTCTCCACAACAAAACCTCAGATGCATCATCCATGGGGACACGGGACACCTCTGCTAGCATATCAACTTCAATTATGAGAAGGAATCTCTCTGATTCTTGTTCTTAGCTTTCTTCTCGTTGTTTTCCCAACTTTTTCAATTTGCATTAGTCATATGCTCCTCCACGACTTGGAGCGATTGCCACTTGTTCACTATACTATCCATGAGAGTGAGAAATTTAATCATTATCACACTTGGATGGGATTATATATACATGTACGAAGTAGTTGATAATATAATTCATTTTTTAAAATTTATATAAATGTACAAAAAAAAAGATATCTATTTTTTTTTTAAAGATCGACGAGATAGAATTATTCTCAGTATGATACAGTTATTATTTTTTGAAAAAAAAATTGATTGTTTCTTTTTGGCATTATTTCAAGGAGTGAAATCCCATGTAGACTAAGATAGTTTGGAATATAAATTTAATAAAGCGGATGAACTGATTTTTTTTAATTCTTCAAAAAGAATAAAAATTCAAGCATTCAAGTGAGTAAAAGTTAGACTTCACTACTTGAGGCAGGGAATCTCTACTTCAAAAATCTGCATCTTAATTCATTCTAAAAAGTATGAAGAACACTTGTTTTTGACACGCAAGTATTTTCTTATTCAGTATAAAAAACACTTTTGTCAAAAAAGAAAAAAAAATTTAAATAGGCTTAATTAAACATCCATGCAATAATTGGTTGACCAAAACACGGGAATGAATATCTTAGGGTCTGTTTGGATTCTGTTCTCATTTTTTATTAACATAATTTTAAAATTATTTTTTAAAAAATAAAATAAAAATCTGTTTGATCATGTTAATTAAAAAATAGTTTTAAAATTTAAAAAATAAATTGAAAGTGATGGTTATAGACAATTAATGATAATAATTAGTAATAAAAATTGACCAAAGTAATTATAATTTTCATTAATCAAATATAGTGTATTATAAAAAAAAAAACGAAAGCAACTTGAAATTGTTTATATTTTTTTTGTTTTTATAAACAAAAATGAAAACAATTTTAAAAATAATTAAACGAAAGACACTTGTCCAAATAATTTTACTTTTTTTTTTTTTTTTGAACAAACAAGCCCTTAATTTGCCAATTAAATGTTATTTTGTCTTTTTTATATTCATAACAAGACCTGACTAATTAAATACATAGCGAATTAGTTAAAATCATTCATGGTGTCGTTTGTTACAAGACGTCCAGAGTTCCAGTTGTTCTCTCCCTTCCAGAGCAAATACAAAAATAAACTTATATGGAAATGCGTGAGAAGGTGGGTTAGATGGAGGAACGAGGCAGTCAAGGGATGAATCTTTAATCGTACATGGGGCAAAGCATGTTGTGGCGTTGGCTGCAATCTGATTTATTTTTTATTTTTTTGGTTTCTGAGTGGCTCTGCTTTTTCCACCCCTGATTGAAGCCTCTCTTGTGAAGCCATTCCTTCTCCTGGCTATTTTTAAGCGTTTGAATCTCTCATCAATTTTGGCCTTTTCACTTCTTTTCTTCTCCTGCTCTTCCGTCCAATGGATTTCTCCATCTCTACCTTTGTCGTTTTCTTCACAACCTGGCAATCTATGCACGTCTCCCTCTGGCCCTCTCGCACCCTTGTACTTGGTGATGTAGATACTGATGTAGACTCTGGACTTTTTCTTCTCTCTTCGTTTCTTTTAAATTTCTTTTAGATATATCTAATTCTAATGACACCTATACGCGTATTATTTGACCCTGCAAAAACATTTTGCATGTACGTATTCATGTACTTTTCAAATTATGCTCCCGGACCAACGTGTAAGATCCCAGTAATCAATAACCGTAGTACGTATACCAAGAAATTTGTCAGTCTCAGGCTGTGATATACAAGCATGCTTTGATTTTTCCAATAATATTGACGATGGGTAAATGTAGGAATTTAAACCCGAAAATTGGATCAACTGAAAAAAAGGAAAGAATGGTTGAAAAGAAATGGATATATTGATCTTGGACAGTAGCTAAGGTGGATCTGAACATGAGAAGCTGCTCGGCTAGTTTAACGTTAACGACAAACGGAGAATACTAGATAGATGTTGCCAATTCAGGTTACAGAAATGAGCAACTGTTCTCGTAAGAAGTGGACTTGACTGCGCGAGAGAGCTAAAGCAGAAGCCCGGTATGCTGATGTGAAGCTTTTCACAACGGGGTTAAAATATGACAAGCTCTGTGTGCGGGTGTTTTTTTTTTTTTTTGACTTTTTCACTTTTTACCCAAGCAGCTTTGCTTTTGAGTTCCTTTCCTCATTTTTAGTTTGAGCTAGGCATGCAACAGATCATGTCACTGTCTATCATTTTTCCCTCGTTTTCATTTCCCATCTTTACTTCCCACTTATGTTGCTTGAGGGTAAATTAAATTTGGCCATTGTGTTGTAGAAAATTCACAAAATAATGCCTATTACTCTGGCAACATGTGGAAAAGAGAGAACACTGCATCAGTGATCTGGTTAACCAGAGTTACAATTCCAAAAGCTATTTGCAAGCGACCAAAGTTTGAATTTTTTTTTTTCCCCTGGGGTCCCTCTTTCTCCTTGTTCCCAAGGTATCAGTTGAAAAACCAGGTTTCAGGATGGCCACTTCTTTCCATTTTCAGATGTCAATGTTGTTGGACCCAACAGCAGTCCCTGGCTTTCTATCCATACAAATGAACATCACGCTGTCTCTTTCTGAGCAAGGAAGCAGATCGGTTCATTATTAAAGGCGCTACAGAATGTCATGTTACTTGGACCTCTGTATCTCTTTCCTGGCGGTTGCACAACATAATTACGCCATGGAATTCTCATAAATATTGTCAACAATCTTAATAATGAAATGCAACACCCAAGAATGACAATCGAGAAAGGGCCAACTCTATACTTTATATGTATAAGCATCAACACATAAATGCGTGTCACCTTGCTAGATCTCATATATACATGGACAGAGGGAACGAACAAAATTTTGCATCACTAAAATATTGCATACAGAATGTGTTATGGCAGAGCAAGACCAGGCATATATATATATATATATATATATACTCGCTAGCACATCCTACAACAATTTCCATTACAGAATAGGTGATTTGTGTCTCTAAAAATTCCTGCAATATTGACGTGATACCCGTTTTAACCTGTGAAAGTGTTACTGACCAAGCAAAATTTGAGGACTGATATTAATATGTGCTTTTCTTTACAGGATCACAGTTACTCTCCAGGATTCCTACTCATTACATGCAATCACATGGTATACAATAGTAATAAAACCATGAGGGACAAAAATTACAGCGACAAGGGTCGGTTTATCTACCTCCGAAAGAACCACATAACTTTCTCGAGTGGTCGAATGCCTCGAAGACGGCGATGGCAATCATCCTTGCTGGTACCAGGCCAGAAAATAAGGCTACTGTAGTTGAGCTCGTTCGATTAAAAAATCAGTTATACAATGATGGGCGATTTATGATACAGTCAGTGAATCTAACATATCTTTCGAATGCAATTTATTAGCTTATATGACTAGAAGATTTCACTGAAATCTCCGGACTTGCTTCAGTGTATAAATCAATTAAAAACTCGACTCCTAGAACAAAAATAAATTCTCTGTGATGCCTATTTACAAGTTAGTCCTTCAAATGATTTACAATTCCTCTTCAAATTTTTAGTGGGTAAAGGTCAATTTTATTTTTAAAATATTTTCTGAAGAGAACTCAATATTTTAAAATATTTGTTAGAATATTTTCGCGAGTAAAGTAATTAAATAAAAACATCTTCTACACTGGTATTAAATCCCAAAAACATCCATTAGAAAGTTCAAAAATATTCTTCACAACTCATTGTATATGTTTTTTTTTTCTTTTTTCACATATTCTACAGATTTTACAAATGGATTTTCCAGAATTTTAAAAATATGTCTCTTTAGTTTCCTTAATCGAACCTAATCTTCATTTTCCTTAAACTCGTATATTTTATATATATATTGAAATTGATACCAATAGTTTTGACATTTCACATGGCGCACCCAACATAATAATGAGCATAGCCTTAGAATGCATGCATAGTCACTCGGATAATTTCAAATAGTTTTGCTTTGGTGTTACGTGTCGATGTTGGAGCAATTAGAGGCTCAAACTAATATACCTGTGCATACTGCACCCAGCAGGTATGTAAATAAACAGAAAGGGAAATATAAATTACATTTATAATATTCATTAATTGACTGCATCTCTCTTTTCACCTCTGAGGAAAAGAAAATCGATAAAGAATCATCCAACCATGGTCCTCTTCCGTCCTCTTTGTCGCACTACAAATTGTGAAAAATACATGAATTGAGTGCTACATCTTAAAAACAGTCTTTAACTTCAAACAGATGAGAGGGAAGTCTCACCTTGCGCCAGCTTGTTTAATGTGGATGACCACTGCTTTGACGATTTGCGATATGCAGCAAGTATCCGGTCCATCTATCCAGAGAGATTACAATATTATAATGAGTAATTGATCATTCGTCCATAACATCTGATCAAGCAGAAGCTAAATCATAGAAGAATTTTAGACCTAGTTTTAGACCCTGTTCAATTTCTAAATTTTCTCTTTTCCTCATAAAACCTTAACCGATACCATCTGAAATCTTATTATTTGTTGTGGCCTGTAACTTTCAGCAAGTCAACATCATCTAAAGCCCCTCCATTTATCCTGATTTTCAATCTTATTAACCTCAAGAAACCTTATCCTTGCCATCTGAAATCCTATTACTTGCTGCTGCCCGTAAAATTCACCAAGTCACTATGATCAAAAGTCCATCCATTTGTCCTCAGACTTTCAATCCTATTAGCCTCATCTTTCGTTTTCAAGTCTATGTACAATCTTTGGAACCCTCAAAAGACAGCGATAGCACACTTGTTATGTCTATCCCGTGCCAGTCTTTATCCAGATCCATTGACAAAAAATGATGTGAAAGACATAAAGCAACAATGCCATTTAATGTCAGGAGGGGAAAACTAGATAGCCAGAAGAAACTTATTCCGATAACATATTGCTTTTCTGCACTCTCAGTACTTACTACTAATTAGCCTAGAAACATGTACTACAAACCATTTTGTTCTGAACACATTAAAGCCAAAGTCTCCGTCCATACAACATAAAATAAGGGAATAAATTGGAATAAAGATCCTGTGAAGACCACTCCAACTGGAATTCTAATAAAGTAAAAATATAAAACTCCTCTCAGGATTGCCTCCCTAAACTGTAGCCCATAGGTTAGTACTAAGGGTAAAAGGAAACGTTGGCATACCACATTGCCACATGAAGAGTGCATTGAAAGAAGAGCTCTTTCCAAAACATACAAATCAACAGCTTTATCTTCTGGTAGAGTTGAAGTGAAGCTCAAACCAAAGTCAATGAGGACCTATAAAAATTGCAATTGACTGGATTTTCATATATTACATAACTTAATTGTAATGAAGGCACTAGCCCTTAGAAGATATGAACAGAAAATGAACTCACCAACTGATTGGAGCCATTCTTCAGCAGCATATTAGAGGTGGTCAAGTCGCCATGAATTAGGCCACCATCATGTATTTTTCCAATTGCATCACCAATTTGGGATGAAATATCTTCCAACTGCTTTTCATTGACACCATGTAACCCAAATTCAAGAAATACATCTTTCACTGAAGGTCCTTCAACAAATTCGAACGTTAACGTTTGTGACACAGGATCCACAGCATACAGCACTGGAGTACAAACCCCAAGCCGTCTTGCCTTGGTCGTGCACCTGGCCTCCTGCTCCAACAATTGGTGAAAGATAACACTTCATACAATGCATAAAATATTGCAAAAAGAAGAGCTTAAAAGCAAAAATGAAACTTCATTATGAATCTCACCGCATTTAATCGCTTTAGAGTAAGTTTAGAATCCAAAATTGGATGCCTGTACTTCTTAGAGAAGCGCTCTTTCACAACAGACCTCCTTCCAACAAAATCAGACTCAAAAACCCTCTGCAAAGGAACACCGAAAGCAGCAAAATAGATTTAAAAGTTATGCAAGTCAAAGGTAACCAGCAAAGCAAAACGAAAAACACAAGGAAAGCTGAGTGTGGCTTAGTCGACAAAATTATCTGATGAAGTTGATAAAAAAGTTAAAAGAAGGTGCCAACAACAATTTGTGTACCAAGGAAAACAGAGATTGATCATTGTGTATAAAGGGAACGATAGCAGTTAAATTTTCAGCTTGATCAGGCTTTAAAAATGTAAAACGAAGCCATGTGAAGAAACACGGTTGTCTCTTAGGTAGCTCCTAAAAATTCATGTGATCACACTTACAGCTTCAGCTCCTTGCTTCAGCAGAATGAGAGAACTACTACTTCTTGTGTCCGCTTCAATCGCCATAAGGAAATATCTCCAGGAAACGTCTTCCCGTTAAGCTTCTACAAAAATTATGTGCCAAAGGGAAAATGATGACCCAATGGAAAGTTAAGAGACTCTGAACACAATCATCAGATAGAGCAATAATGTTAACAAAGACACATGGGCCTCAACAATGGCTGAACTTGTTGGCATTTGGCGATAGATCAACTGAATTATAGAAAGTAATTAATCTTAAGCTAACACATATAGAAAAGAATTGAGCGAAAACATACATGGAGATTAATCAGCTAAACAGGAAAAACCATTTAAAGCAGGATGTCATGTTTTGAAGAAGCACACGTTAACTTAGTTACAAGTAAGAAAAAAGCAAGATTTCCCCCCGCCCCCCGGGGAGGGGGGGATCCCCTTTCTAGCTTAAAACTCGATACTATCAAAAGATTTATAAGTTCAGTATTTCAAATTCACAAAAGGTTATAACTACTAAATAAAATTGAACCATAAGAAAGGCATATAATTGCAAAGAAAGAACAAACGAGCCGGCTACATTATGTTATAAATATACTGACAAAAGTAACCAATTATGGTTTCACTCCATAATTCTGACAAGATAATATTATTGACGAGAAGCCTTGACGGTCCGCAACAATTAGAAAAGAAAAATAAACTTGAAAGAGAGAAACGAGAACTCTGGTTGCCATGGTCGATGAAAGGAGAGAAGGAAGAAGGAGGCCCAGAGAAAAACTGGGTTGGGATGGGGGGTTACCGCGGCGGCAAGATTAGCCGCTTTCGAGGGCAAGTTTAGACTCCAGAGTCGAGACTGCAAACGAAACCAACCCAAAGAAGTCGGAGGGAGGCTATCACATTATATCAGCCATCAGATTAATCCGACAGTTACAAGAAATCAAGCACGTTAACGGGATCGGAATGAATCCGGGCCGTCAAACCCTCTAAACTCGGACCGTCTTTCTCGATAGGCCCTAACTAAAACCTGAAAAAGATTAAAGTAACAATTTTTGTTTTGGGTCGAAAGGAGTAGAAGCAATCCTCTCTCTCTCTTTTTTACTTTTTTTTAATAATACACAAGATACAGGTCAAAGCCTGGACAGTTCACAAAATTACGTCACAATACCAAGCTAATACAAGTCCAAACAATCCGGGTTCAATTTCGGCACCACAGTGCTCACATTGTTGAGTAATCTGAACCGTCTAGATTTATTTTTTTATATTTTATTATATATTTTTTAAAATATAAAATATAAATTTTTAATAAATCTACTTTATTATTAATCTTGACAATATAAAAAGTACATCTAAATAATCAATTTATAAAAATTTTAAAAAAATTAATATTGAAATCAACCATCCAAATTAAATACATAGTGTTTAGATTGATGATAAAATAAATTTATTAAAATTTCATAATTTTTAATAAAAATAAAAAATAAATTTTATAAAATCTGACCTTTCAGATTCAAAATTTAAATGGACCAGATGCTCATTAAGCGATGATCATTACTAAAACTGAATCCCAAGCAACCCAGCACTGGTTCATACCAGACAAGGAATAGAAGCGATCTAACCTGAACAATTCTTGAGAGTAAAAAACTATTTATTTTTCTTATTTAACATCTACACGTTTTTTTATTGACCTTACCATTGAATTAAATTTTAAGCAAACTAGTTTTCCAACCCTGGCACTTGCATGGGGAATTGGGGATACGGACTATTTTAAAATATATAATTTAAAAATAATTTAATTTTTTGAAATATAAATAGATTAAAAATCAGGTCAAGTAATAATAGAATAACAGTAAAATAATAATATTCCTCCGTCCTACTTTTATATGATATACTCCATCCGTTTAAAAATATAAATAATTTTTTAAAGAGTTAAATGTTTAAAAATATAAAATATTTTTAATTTTTTGATGTGTAATTATTATCTTGTTTTAAAAATACTACTATTGATATATGACTTTATATTTATTATAAGGTATTTAATAGAGATAAATATAAAAAAATAAAATTAGTTTAAAAGTAAATAACTACTTTATTGAGAATGAAATTCGGTTAAAAATATCTTAATTTTTTAACAGATGAGTATTATTTTTAGTGCATCTAGACTTAACTGTCACTTTGGTTCTCTAACTTCTCTTAATTTTAAAAGACAATATTTTAATTAAATACATTTTTTGAAGAAAACACTTATCAGGATAAATTTAAATAAACTAAATTATCTGCCTTCTCACTAGCAAAATGCCTTATATTATAACTGTTAGATTCATAAAAGTAACATTTACAGTTACGTAACTGCACTTTATATATTCATTTTTGTTTTTTTTTTTGTTTTTTAATTATCCACAATCACAACACCAAGATGAAATATTGTGCTCAACATTATCAATGCTTGCTCGATGCCAATTTCTAGAATGAAAAATTTTCAATTCTTATTACTTAGATTATTTAATTTTCCACTTGACTACACCATCGAGTAGCATAAGATTCAACAGCTCATGGCAGGAGAATTTCCTCCAACACAAAAGCTGCTGACTTTAGAAAATCTTTCACAAAGCGTTCCAACCCTCTGATTCATTCTTCGTGGGATTGGTTTTGCATGTGTGAAGCATGTAGTTGCATGCTTCAACGGCCTCTTCCACTGTTAGACATATCCATTTCTGCCCTATCTCTTCTATGAACTTGGCTTTGTTCAGTTTCTTCATCACTTCTCCTGCGGGATTCACCAGAACGATCTGTGCCAAATAAGAAAAGAAAATGTATTACATAAATCAGATCAAGCATTTTGAAAAGAAAACAGAGCTTCAAGAGAATCACGTACTTGTTGTCCTCTTCTGTCTACAACCTTCTTGATCTCTTCAAGCATGCTTATTCCACTAGTGTCGATGTTCCCAACAGCTGCCAATGAAATTACAATGAGTTGGTAACTCTACTATGAGCAATCTCTGTGTGAAAGATTTCAGATTGATTGCTTACCAGTCATATCCATTATAACATACCGCAAGCTCGTCTCCTCTGTGACTTTAATCCTGTCTTCCTCTTCATCAATCCACCTTGTGATCCTATCAACAGTGACAATATTTTCTGTGAGTGTTTAGAATGGCAGAATTTGTTTGAGATGTGAACTCTAATCCAATTGTGAAAGTAGCATTAGAAAGGCACCTCTCTCTCAAGTAGCTTGCATTGGCAAAGTAAATGGGTGCATCAATCTCAAGAATCAGGATTCCAGGAACGTGGGTTGCATTTGGATATTGTTCAACATTTCTATATACTACAGAATTTGGAATGTTGCCTAAAACAGATGTCCTTGGCCTTGCAATAAACAGAAGCACCCTAAGTACAGATATTGCAACCTGCATATATATTTACAGAAAAATTAAAGCATTTGGATGTTTAAATTAATTACCCAAAATTGAGTGAGCAATATAGATAGATAGATAGATACCGCTATGGCAAGGCCAATTTCAACGCTGCAAAAGACGACGCCAATATAGGCACTCATGCATACAAGAAAATCACATTTGTCAATCTTATAGAGATGGATGGCTGCTTGGTAGTCTATAAGCCCAAGCATTGCCGACACTATTATGGCTGATAGAACCACCAGGGGAGTGTAATGGAACAAGGGTGTCAGGAATAACAACGTCAACATGACTACTATTGCCATTACTATATTTGATGCCGCAGTCTTGCACCCAGCATTATAATTCACAGCTGAACGCGAGAATGGACCTGTATGATATTACCTCCGTCAGCAATGCATGAATAAAACTGATCATCTAGGCTTTTGGTAGCGTGTCTTGTTTCAATAAATGAATTACCCGTGGTGAGGTAGCAAGAGGCGAACGAACCAACTATGTTCATTGTCCCAATAGCTATCATCTCTTTGTTGCCATCAATATGGTAATTCTTGTACATTGCGAAGCTTCTCCCTACCGCTATTCCTTCCTGCCCATCATCATCCATTCAATTTTCAGGACCTCAACGTTGAAAAGTACAAACACAAAGCTTCACCACTTTATCCGAATAGGGAAAACAGATTGGCTTCAAACATAACAAAATTGAAGTAACCATGATAAGACTCAATAAAAGGATGAAGTTGTTGATGGTGATGTTAGTCATGAAGCCAGGTGATGAAGCCAAATTCTATATTGGCGCGTCAAACTGAAATTTATTCAGATTATGAAGACTTGAAAGTGATGGGGCAGGCAAGAGGGTTGGTGTGAGGTAAAGGCAAGGCAAATAAGGAGAATAAGAGTACCGCAAGGGCTATGATGCCAGTGATAAGGCCAGTCTTAATAGCAGTGCTCATGTAAGGCGCCACGAATACCAGCCCTGTGAGGGAACCTGGATTTAGCCCCTTCTTCAAATCTCCTATCTGGACCAACCAGAAAAAATTTGTCAATATTGTCACGTGGGCCCAGTCAGTGGTGGGCCCCAATTGTGTCTGTAGCACAATGATACCCGTTAGGCCCAATCAAAGAGGCCCTGAATCATGTGAATCTGGGTCACAGTATTACGGTGTTTGGTCTTTTGCGCGTGAGTGGGGTGTGTGTGTGTGTGTGAGTGATAGATTAGGAAGAGAGGGACAAGTTCGGGGCTCACCACTTGGACGCCGTGTTTCTCCGCATGAGTGACGTAAACCAGAATGCTTCCTAAGATAACGGTCGTCAACGGCGCCATTGCTGACACCCAGAACAATTTTGGTTGTTTTTTGCTCTGCATTTCGTTCACCGTCAGTTCTCAAACTCAACTTCAATTACATTAATTAAATTGTGTATATATTATCTTAAAATCTAGTGTGCTTTCGCTTTTCATTTTTCTGGAAAATCAGAATATAGCAGTCACGCATTCAACCTGAATAGGTATTGTTTCAATGTAAAAGAAGAAATAACAATGAGACCCGGAAGGCGTTTTTATACAAAACCTGATAAATCATATTATTTCAATGCTCGTAAGAAATATATATTGTTTAGATAGTATGGACTAAATGAAAATAGTTTGTCACTCCTTTTTTTCTTTTTGGTTGATAAGTAAATATAAACAAATTTCAATCATTTGAAAGTTGTTTACAAAAACCGCAAGAGCTTTCAAATGCAAAGGTTGGAGTGAAATATAGATAGATGTACGACGACAAAAAAAAAGTTATTTATAAATTATTTTGGTACTTCCTCCTTTTCAAATTATAAGACACTTTTAGAGAAAATTTAATATCCCAAAATATAAGACACTTTGATAAAAATAAAGTTTCATTAATGATATTTTTTTAATATTATCCTTTCTATATATTTTCTCTTCAATATTCTTTCATCAATGAAATATTAAATAAAAAAAATTTAAAAAATTTATATTTTTATCTTCAAAAAGTAAAGTTATAAAGTATATTTAATAAATTTTATTGATATATGTGATTTTATCTAAAAATATTTTATAATTTGGGATAGAGGAAGTATTAAATATAGAACTAAAAATGTCAAAAATAATATGAAGCTGTAATTATTTAATATATATTTGGACAAAAAATTATTTAATATACATGTCAAATTTAATTTCTTATGCATGCATGCATTCTCAAAAACTACTTGAAAAAGAAACTAGAATATCTTTTTTTTTTTCGGCCAAAGAAGAAACTAGATTATCTACCAAGTTAAAATTGTTCACACATATTTATCCATTGAATAGTTGTACCCGAGTGACAACCAAAATTGGGTGTTTTTCTTTTTTAAGATATTTGATGTATTA